TCTCTACTGTGTATGCATCCTTGGCCTTAATTTAGCAAGCTTATATTTTAAGACAATAAATAATTCCTTTATACCCAAAAATTTGTCATATTTTAGTCTATAAATAGGTTTTCTATACTATCATTAGATCGTATATTTGTGATGTATTTACCCTAATCCGTTTATGATGATAAGGCGACTGGTAGTTGAATTTTCACAACAATATGAGGAGACCTTATGCTTCAATGTAATTCATTGGAAATGTATTGCCAACTCATATCATTCTTTTAAAATTCAACTATCTCTTTTAATCACCATTATGCAATAGGGTGAATATATCTCATATATTATCTACTGGTAGTCTCTTGTGAACCTACTTATATATGATTCATAAGTAATGTAGTCTATTTCTATAGAAAATACAACTTAGTTTCAACGAAAATCCCCTAACATATGGGAAATTCACATCTGCTCTGTAACACAAGGACACTCTCGGCAGTGTGGCGGGGTAGTTAATGTGTCAGACTACGCTACATTGTAACGATTCGAAAAATTTTATACAACCTACGCTGAGTGAGCTTTACCAAAATACTTCAGAATCAATTGGTCGTTACTCAGAGAAGGCTTTCTATTCAATTAACCAACATCCCTACTACTTTATCAAAACAAATAGGAGGATATTAACAAGTAACCAGGAGGAATATGAAAAACAAAAAATAATTTATGTATTTATAAATACTTAAAAATTCATTATCAATATTTAGCTAAGTCAAGCATTGAGTGCAAGGCGAGGTTAAAACTACAGTCCACTATTGCCTGGATGAGAATAACTTTTGGGAAGGCAAGTATGTGTGAAATTCAATGGATGAGTAAGACTCACTTATATAATTGTGAAAATATGCAACTGTCACCTTACAATCAATAGCGTGAATGCATCTAATCTTTATATTCAATGGCTAAACCTTTTACTTTCCCCAAAATCTTAACAAGGTGCGGAGTTCGGGATGCCTTCGGATGTCCTGTTGACCAGCGCAGGGGGTGGAACCCTAAAGGAAATTCATCGGCATCCTGTTGGTCGCCCCCTACCAGGCTACTCTGAGCAATCATATTCATTAAATCCTAATTCTGAAGAGGAAAACTCAAACCAGTCGCATCCTGCAGTTACACATGCTCTAGCCCAAGGCCATTTATTGTTAATGGACCAGTTGCAATCCGTTCATGTGCGTAATGGCATTCCTGGTAGCCAAACAGCAGGATCCACTTCAACTACTTCGTCAAGCTCTTCACGACGACATGTTCCAATTGGTGTGTCTCCAAGTCACCAGCATTGTCAATATCAGCAGCCTCATCCACAAATGACAGCTGTGGCAGTCTCCGGAACGTATGGACAAGCGTATACTCATTCAGCTCACTCTTTACAGTCAGCATCTACAATAGGCCAGGCAGCTGAAGTGGGAGCTGCTTTAACTACCGCTGGCATTGGCATGATCTCCGGTGCAAATTCTACAATCGGATCCGGCCTACGAGTTAATACAGTAGAAAACACTCTTAACAGAGAAACACAACTTCTAAACGTCAGGGTGGGCAGAACTAAACAAGCCGGCCAGGCAGCTCGAGATCGGCCCGCTGGACTAGCGAGTAATAAGTCAGTCCCGGTTGATCGTCTAACGGTAGACCGAGAAGAGGAAGATCCTGGAAATGTACATATAACCTTGTTGATGATAAATATTTTTTTCAAAGCTTTGATGAAATTCATCTGAGCATCAAATTTTACTTATATTTATCACTTATTTATAATCGCAAATGTGCATTACAATTGTAACATGGTTCTCATCCTGCAGTTATTTCCTTCTG